AGATTGGTACTTACATTACTGTCATATTTATTCTTTTTGACATGTGTTATGGGACTGTAATTTGATGAAATGAATCAAAATGTAGCTCTCGCACAAAAGCCAGCCCCTGAAGCTAATTATCCACCTATAATTCCTGTCAATACTTGTAGTTTAAGAGAATGGGGAAGTCTGCTCCCTGGAACATGAGAGACAGGTTAGGAAAGAAAATGTTAAAGAGATCACATTCAAGGATCTCAACCTTCTGACAATAGGACAAACTGCTGAGCTAATCCGGTCTGAGCTCACTTTCACCTGAGCTCAAGCGTGGCCTTCTCTCACCAGCCTGCGCCTGCCTACACTTATCCACACCCTTGTGATGGATTGCCTCCACATGGGGCTGTACAGTAAAGCCCCTCCGAAACTGAACCCACTGCAAACTGCAGCTGCTCATTGTTAGTGATGTTTGATGCTGAGTGCGCATGAGATGCTCTGGCTGCCAATGAATTTCTAGGGGGAATTTAAGGTACTTAACTTAAGGCCCTAAATAGCTTGGGACCAGGTTACCCAGAGACTGGCTCTCTCCCCATGCCAGAAGGCCAAGGAGATCAGCAGAAGTACCGATGGAGATACTGCCAGAGCCATGAGCTTGCAACTCGCTCCCCACTAGGTCTATGCTGCAATCGCAGGTGTGACTGCAGCCCATGTGAACATCCTCAAGCCAGCTTTGATCTAGTTCAGGGGTGGCCAGCCTGAGCCTGAGAAGAAGCCAGAATTTACCAATGTACATTGCCAAAGAGCCACAGTAATACGTCAGCAGCCCCCCCACCCCATCAGCTCCCCTACCCCGCTCCCAGCGCGCCCCGCCGATCAGCACCTCACCCTCCCTCCCCGCACCTCCTGATCAGCTGTTTCGTGGCCTGCAGGAGGCTCTGCGGGGGAGGGCATGGCAGGTTCAGGGGAGGGGGTGGGAAGAGGTGGAGTGGGGGCAGGGCCTGTGGCAGAGCCAGGGGTTGAGCAGTGAGCACCCCCCACCGGTACATTGGAAAGTTGGCGCTTGTAGCTCCAGCCCCGGAGTCGGTGCCTATATAAGGAACCGCATATTAACTTCTGAAGAGCCACATGTGGCTCTGGAGCCACAGGTTGGCCACCCCAGTGCTAGTGAGTTCAAATAACAATAGCAGTGAAGCTGTGGCAATGCAGGTGGTACAACCCCCTCCTCTTACCACCTCCACCCCCACCCCCACGGTATGTATTTGAGCAGCTAGCCTATGCTACCATGGTTTCGCTGCTATTATTATTTGAGCTATCTAGAGCAAAGTTAGCTTGAGGCTGTCTACATGTGCTGCAGTGACACCTCCGACTGCAGTGTAGACATACTGTCACTCCACCCGCGCCCAGCTCTGTTAGCCTTCTGGGCAAAGCCCCTCTCTTTCCCCGGGCTTCTAAGAGACTGAGGGGTTTTCTATGGGCTAGATTCCAATACCCGTACAATGAGTACTACCTTGGTGTAAGGTGCTATGCAGTGTGATCACGATCTGGTCCTGTGCATGCAGTAGGTTTATTTTATTTCTCCCATTATATTTGTCTATGGGTATTTAGTTCTCTCTCAACGTGGGCTGAGCGATCATTCGTACTGTGCTGTCGGCTTTTTCACGTAAGCCTGGGGTGTCTGGAGCATAGACTGGGTGCCTAGTGCGATTCTTATACGCAGAGAAATCCATGATGGGCCGTGGCCTCTATGCTTTGGGTACCTGTATAAGGGATGTGGCATTTCAGGGGTGCTGAGCTAAGGTGACTGTCTCTGTTGCAAGGAAATATTGTTCCATCTGTGTCGATATATCCAGCAAAAAGCTTATTTGGGGGGCGGTACCCGCAAATGTCACTCCAGGGAGTAGCCATCTGTACAGCAGCCTATGATCACTAGTGTGATTCTGCCGCAGTTACCCGATTATGCTACCTCGCCTTGGGACGGGACAGGAGGCAGCAAACCGAAGGACGGCCCTCAACACAGGTGTCCCCCTCTGCATGGTCCAGACAAATCAAGGGTCGGTGCTGTCCGTTTAGTGTCTTGCTGGTGTGATCTGCAGTTCGCCCGGCGGGGGGCGCTGCTCACCGTCCTGGGCCTGGCAAAACAGCCGCGCGTGGCAGCCCTTGCCCTTGGGTGCAGACAGGCTGGGCTCCGAGCTAGCGGCCCGGGAGGTACCTGCAGCGCGCTGGGGAGGACAGGGCTGCGGGGTGCAGTGCACGGGGGGGGGGGCTAAGGGATATTGGAATGTAGGAGTATTGGGGCGCAGTGCACTAGGGAGAGGGGGCGACGGGATACTGGGATGTAGGGAGATCGGGGTGCAGGAATAATGGGGTGCAGTGCACTGGGGTAAGGGGGTGCAGTGCACTGGGGAGGGGGCTGCGGGGATACTGGGGTGCAGTGCACGGGGAGGGGGCTGCGGGGATACTGGGGTGCAGTGCACTGGGGAGGATACTGGGGTGCAGTGCACTGGGGGAAGAGGGTGCGGGGATATTGGGGTGCAGTGCACTGCGGGGATATTGGGGTGCAGTGCACTAGGGGGGATATTGGGGTGCAGTGCACTGGGGTGGAGGCTGGCTCCCGGCTCTAGCCGAGCCTTGCAGCCTCCGGAAGGAAGCGCCGAGCCGCAGCTGTGTCGCCGCCTCCCCTCCCCGCAGCCGGGCGGGGCTCTCCGGCTCCGGCCCTTGGGGCGCTGCAGGCCGGGGAGCTGCGGGCCCGGCCCTGTCCGGCTACCCCGCGCCTGCCGGCTGGACGCGGAGCCCCCCGCTGCATCTCGTGCCCGGGGGGCAGCTGAAGGGCCGCGCGCTTGGGCCCCAGCTCCGGGTAGGTGGGGGGTGCCGGGCTCCCACTGCTAACGCCCCGGGGAGTGTCTGCGGGCTGGTGCTTTCCCCCGAGCCTTCACCCCGGGTCTGCCGTCTGGCAGCACCAGCCTGGGGGAGCTTTAACTTCACCACGGGGTGAGTCCGGCTGGCCCCTCTGCAGGGCACGTTCCTGCCCCCCTCAGCCTTACCCATCACTCACCGGCAGCCACTTCCTGCTCGAAACCCAGCAGCTGTTGTGAATACCACACCCCCACTGAGATAAGAAGTGCAGATTAGCCCTAGCGCCAGGTGACAGGACGGGGGGCTTAGAGAAGGGGAAGGAAGTTACCCCCGTGGGAATTAGGCCAAGTCATCAGGGTACTCATGCCCTTATTCTTGTGGACTATGTCCTACACTTCAGAGCCCCCTCCTGCCATGAACTGAGCATGCACAGACCCCTGCCGTTTAGGATTTCCCCCAAAATAGTAGCTGCAGCAGTGCTAAGAGGAAGGGAATTTGAGGGGTAGGGTACGGAGGTACAGTGGACACAGCCATAAGACCCCCCAGCGCCTGTTTTAATACTCTAGCCCAAAACTTGCAGTATTCTCTTGCTGTGTATTTGCTGAGATGGAGGGGGTTGGTTCACGGATATGATTTGGCTGAGTACTTGGAAACTGAAAATAGACTCGCCTGCCTCCATTGCTCTCACGCCCAGACAGTCGTGTCACTGTTGTCAGGCGATTGTGGTCCTGTTAGCCTCAGAGCATGATTTTCCGAGAAGAGGCGGCTGATGCAGTAGAGCTGTGAAATGCACGAGTTGCTAGGACTGGAGCTGACATGAAATTGCCCAGCAGCCAGCGCCTGCAGAAAGTTAATGGTGTTACACTCCAGTATGAATTTGGCCCGAGGACATGAAGTGTTTAAGAAAACCCATAAAAAGATATTATGAAGGCTAAATACCTTAATTGATGCTAAAATTATATCACACACCTACTTGGTTATTTAGTTACTCATGTATTTCTTGACTCTAATGAGTAATTATGTAAAAACTGTACTTTCTCCAAAATGTTAATTTAGGTTTCCACAGATGGCAACCATCTGTTAAATGACTAGTCATTTAAAATATCCTATTAGCACTTTATATAGCTTGGGTGGACTTTCTGTTACAATATACAAGTGTGCTGGTGGGGGGCATTTGGTAGATGTTGTTCTTTTCCCTGTTACGGCTATGTTCATGGTGAGTCTCAAAGCTATTAATGTTTGTGCACGCGTCCTGCTGTGTTTATGCAGCTTGTTTAAAAGGTGGAACTTGAAGCTTGCAAACCAGTTTTCACCTAGTGCTCTTGAAATGATTAGAGCACTAGGAAAACTAGCCCAACTCACGTAACCTTAGTAGCAACCACCAAAGGCCCTGATCCTGCAATATCAGCCATGGGGGTTGCCCAGTGTGCCCAGATGGAGTGTCACTAAAGGCACGTGGGAGAGGGGCAGCATGGACCCAGAGGTCAGCCCATGGGGATCAGACTACAGGTGCAAGGGCTAGGACCTCTTCTTCCAGACTGGCACACTGCATGAGGATCATTTACCGTAGCGCTCAGACGCGGGCCTCATTCTGCTAAGTGCTCTACAAACATCTCAGAGCAAGACAATGCCCCTGCCCCAAAGAGCTGTTTGAAGGCCCCATTCCTGCAAAGACATACACTTGTGAGATGTTCCACCCCCAAGTCAAGATCAGTCCCTAATACAAGTGATTTACAAAGGGGGAGAGGGGAAAAAAAATTGTATACTGAGGGGGGTATGTACACTCTGCCACCTACTCACACCTCTCTCTCTCACACACACACACACACACACACCTCTATATTTATAGATTTGATTAATGACACCTAACCCCAGCTGCCCTCAAATAAGCAATTTCTCAATAGTTTGAACAAGTTCCTTAACCATTCCACGCCTCATTACCTCCTCATCCCACGGGGAGATTATATAAAAACTTGCAGATTCCGGGATGAAAGTTCAAAGCACAATTAAAATAAATGATACTATACCTGCATCTTCCCGCAAACTACTCAGGTTACTTCTAGTTTTCAGCTTACTAAGCCTGATGCTCTCCTTGTAAAATTAGCCTTGAGTTCTACTTCTGCAATGTGCGTTTTCCAGTTTTGTGAAATACACATTTGTTTGTTTTAGCGACTGAAATCTTAACATGACAATGGCTCCATTACCGAGGGCTGAATTAGTCCAGAAGCCTTTGCAGTTATACCGCTATCTGCTTCGATGTTGTAAGCAGCTTCCTACAGAAAATATCCAACAGCATTACAGACATGCAATCAGACAGGTAAAGAGATGATCTCTTTGATGATGGGAAAACTGGTTTCTCCATTTATTTGGATTATTAAAATTTGAGGCTATTTGTAATGGATTAGTGATGAGCATTGGAAAAATTGTGTCTTTTCAAGCCAGTAGAAAAAACAAATCAGGTTAAAAAGATCCTACAATTAAAAACCAAGTTTCGTTACTTGTTTTACTAAGAGCATTTTAGAATCTCTTTTCCATCACTGATGCCCTATTGTGGCAGTTCACTCAAGCCTTATTTCTGCTAGCCACAGGTACTGTTCCTCCTAAAACGATTGTAGCACACCTTGCATCCAACATAAAATGCTTTATACGGTTTACATGGGAACATACAAGTTTTGCAGTGCTAGACACTATTTCAGTCTGAACTGCTTTAGTGGACACAAACTAGCTGAAGCGGTTCAGTTAGTCCTCCCATTGCTGTTCCACAATACATAGGACTGGCAGAGACCTTCTGGGTTATTGAATCCAGCCCCCTGCAAGTGCAGTCAAGTCTATCAGATAATCCTGTTCATGAATGTGCTGGGTGGCCTTTCCAAGCATCCCACAATGCACCACTTCTGGGATCTAACGTGCGAGTCCTTAATGCAACGTGCAAGTCCTTAACGCAAGTCAGCAAGGCTAACGTGAGCATATGGAACATTTGTGCTCCAGCTGGTGCAACACAACCAGGTAAATAGCCCTGGTCCTTGTTAGCACAAACGTCTGCAAGACCCCCTGCTGCTGAAGAGTTAGAACAGCGAATATGAAAGTATGTTCACCGTAACCCAGTGGTTCTCAACCTGTGGCCCGTGGGCCACTTGCGGCCCAGTCAGCACACAGCTGCTGCCCATGTGACATCCTCAGGGCCATACAGGTAGAATTGGATGTGGCCCACAATGGTAAATAGGTTGAGAGCCACTGCTGTAACCCCTTCTGAACAAAGCTCTGCCTATTTGCTAGAATAGGCATTTCTACCTCTTCAGATTGTATACACTTTTGATCAAGTGCTTATTTCAGGATTTTAAATCCTTATTTTAGCAGGATCTGATCAGCTGTTACATTAACGGGGGTTACTCATTTTCACATTCTGCTCAAACCCTGTAGAGTTTCCGAGTTCATGCAGATGAAGACAGTCCTGAGAGAATCCAGCAGATTATTAAGAGAGCCATTGAAGATGCTGACTGGGTCATGAATAAAGTAAGTGCAGCTACATTCCTCCCCATGATGTTGTCTGAGTCCTGTTCTTAGCTAATTCAGTTCAGGAGCTGGGATGTTGGAAAACAAATGAGACTGGTCTTCCTCTGCAATGGGCTTTGAGATCTATGGGTGAGGATGTGTGTAATAACTAGAGATAGTTTCAGGGGATTCTTTAAAAAAAAAAAAAAAAAGGCAGCTCTTCGTTGACAGAAAATAATAATAAAAAAAGAAACTAATGAATCACAGGGGTTTTGCAAGTACACTCTCACTCAGGAGAGCAAACTTCTGCCCCATTCGAGGCCTTGTTTACATTGGGGATTAGTTCAGATTTCAGCAACTAGTGTATCTGCAGCTATGTAAATATCTAATATAGACAAGAAAGCCACAGTTTACCCATGGCTCAGCATTGAAATGAATCAACTCTCTCCCTGCTAACATTCCATCCACTTGTAACCTGGCTCTTCTAGCCTCCCAGAATGCTCATCTCACGCGTCTTGCCTGTACCGCTAGAATCAGGGTTAGAAGACACTGTGGTGAGAACCCACGCGCTCTTACCCGTGCTACCGCCACTGCAGCTGCATCAGCATTAGGAGATTTTCCTCCAGTTGCCACATTTGCTGCCTTGCCTGCGCTGACATGTCTCCATGCAGCCAGCACAAAATAACATGGCTTGAAAGAGAACTAGATTCCTAAGTGCGGGAATGCAGATCTCTGCTGAGCCATGAGTCGCACTTCTGGTTCACTGTAGTTAAGTTTGACTAGTAAGCAAACAAACGTAACAAAATGAGTCAAAAATTCAGCTGCCTTAAAAAAAATTATCTATCTATCACTGGAGGAGGGGGGAGAAAAAAAAATCCACACGGAAATCCAGAAGAGGTGAACACCAGGAAAAGCTACGAATTAGTCACCGATTTTATAAAATTTCAGCAGCATCCAGATCTCTGGCACTTTTAGCCCAGTTTGCAAACCCTATTCTGAGTGCCTGGTGAAGGCCCCAATTCTGATCTCACCGCAGAGACTGATCTGACTCCACTGGCTTCAGCTGAATTATTCCACATTTTACACCGTGGGTAAGAGGCGACTCATTCCCAATGGCCATCCAGAAACAAACTCATGCCCAGTATTCTACATCTCTCAGAGGGGAAGTCCCAGCGTTTTACTCTGTGAAGGTTCAAAGGAATTCACACAGCCTTAGGTGGCTCAGAAACGGGGTCCTGAACGTTAGTGTTTGGAAGGGTTTTACCAAAAAGAATCCTTCCTTGTGTGAATGGTTACGTTGAATATGTCCCTGTATCACGTGTGGTTTGTTTTTTGCAGTATACGAGACAGAAGTAGAAAGAAGGGGGTGAAGAGAAGATGCTCATCAATACAGATCCTCAGACAGAGTCCAGGCAAATAAGCCCAGTTGTTTGTAACAGTGCCATGCTGTAAACTGTGCCTGCAAGTTTCTCCTGGTGTAAAATGATTTGTCATAATACCTACCTCACTGGGGTGTCATGGGTTAATTCATCTTTCTGAAGCTCTTTGGGATAATTATATAGTAAAAAAAACCTTGGCTAGAGAGCTAAATTTCCCCACTATTTTTTTGGCTGGAGGGAGTGGGGGAGGTGGGAAGCAGAGAGGGATTTCAGATCCCATGTTTTGGGTTGGTTCATCCTATGAGAGAGACGGGAGCTGGCTGCTGAGGCCCCTATCCTGCTAGTAGATATTATTGCAACATCAGAGCCTAAGATTAGATCAAGATCTAAAATGCATCCAAGTTTTGTAGGGTTGGGGTTTTTATCTGCTGTTTATTAATAATAGCCGGAGCCAAACAATCTAACATCTATTTTTTTTTTAATTAATAATGGCAATCCTGCACTGCTGTTATAAATCAGTGGCCTACCAGAGGTGAATAAATTGGATACCGGCATTTGCTGCAGACTAAACAAATAGGGCAATCTACCAACTACACCAAGGAAATTCAAAGTCTAGCCCTTGACTAGTTCTAATATACTTACTCTTGGCAGCATGTATTGAGCTAGGTTCTGTGCCCTCAGTTACACCCATAAATGGGGGAGGATTACATGCATGTAACTGATGGCAAAATAATTGGCCCGGGGTATCTAAGATTCTCTTCACCCATCCACCTCAATGAAAGGAGACAGAAGCTGCTTCTGCCATGCAGACACAGCAAAACAAAGGAAGGATGAAACTTCTCTGCCTTGTGGGTTTGTCATGTGAATCTCTGCTAGATTATGTGAATGTCATTTTTTGATTGTTGCTTTTAGTTATCCTCAATGTTTCTACAAATTCCCTTTAAGTTTGACAATAAACAGGAACCTGACTTTGCATGGTCAGAACGGTTACACTGACACGTCTCACCTAACTAGTACCTGGAAGTTGGGAGAGACAATTAAGTTTTATTTAATACCTGGAGGGGAAAAATAAAACACTGTATGAACAAGATGCATTTGTATCAGCCTTGCCTTTCTATATTTGCAGTATAACAGCGGAAAGTATTGTGTTTTGAAGTGTAATACAGATTAAGTAATTTCTTGATAATAAGCACACCGTATGGCATTGAAAATCATTGGCATACATGCTGCGTTATGGACAAATAAGATCACCAGGCTCTTGCCTCAGACAATTTAACATGTGACCAAGCATAAATATATATGATTTAAGATGGAACTGACTGACAAACACTCACTGTAGGCCATAGCAAACTATTGGTAGACTGATTTCAGTGCGGGTTGGAGTGGACACAGGCCCTGATTCAGCAAAGCATGTAAGTATTTTATTAACTTTAAGCTTATTGATCCATGTTCAGCAATGAACTGCTTAAATTCTAATGGAAGTAAGTATACTGAGACTCCAATTCAGCATAGCAATTTTGGGACTGCTCACATGCTTGAATGTAAGTACATGGTCAGCTGCCTTGCTGGATCAAGCCACTAGAGAGATGATGTTGGTGTTAATCCTTTAGTCCTAATCTCTAGTTTTGGGGAGAACACAGTCTGTTCAGTTAGGGGGTGTGTGTGCACCTGTGTGTGCACTGGACAGTAATACAACATAGTATATTTCACAGTACAGCCAATTTATAAAGGCCTTTGCAATTTATTTATTTTTAAACATGCTGTAAGTGTTTCGTTACAAAACAGCCTCCTAAGTGTCTTAAAAAAGCAGGCCTCCTTCTACTGCCATCAGATAAGCCTCCTATGAGGAAGCACACGAGAAAAGCTAATGGTCTTGAATAAAAAAAATTTATTTGAAGCAAGACTGTGTTTAGGTGCATTTGCTTTCTTCTGTCCCTAGATGGCAGTGCAACATGTACATACCATTACTGTCCCCAACAAAACAACAAACAAACAAAACAAACCACAAACACACACCAACCCGCCAAAAGCTAACTCCAAATCCTTAGATTATTTCTCTCTCTCAATAATGACCCTACAAAGGAAATAAATTAAATCAAACAAGCAATCTTAGGTTTTGTCTACACTGGGTTTGTTAGACCGCTGCCTCCCTGCCCAACTCCTGTGCCACTGTCCCCCTGCTCCTGTCCTTCCCCCCCCTCACCCCATGGCTCCTGCCTCTCTCTCCTTCCCTCTGCTCCTGCCCATGTTCCCTTTCTGTTTCTATCCACCCTCTGAGGCACCTGCCTCCCCAACTTGCTCATATTTCCCCCCATACTCCCACTCCCCCATTTTCTGCCACCCATGCACCCCCTTGGTTCCCAACACCCGTTATTGAGTCACAGGAACAAAAGGCACAGCCCTGACACGAAGGCCAAATGTCAAGTTCTAGCATGGATGCACTAGAGTCCTAGAACCTATAGGGTTAGAAGGGACCATAAGGGTCATCTAGGCTACTCCCTGCCATTAGGCAGGATTGGTCATGTCTAAACCATCCAAGACAGATGGCGCTCCAGCCTCCTTTTGTAAACCTCCCGTCAGGGGCGGCTCTACGTTTTTTGCCGACCCAAGCACGGCAGGCAGGCAGGCAGCTTTTGGCGGCGCGCCTGCGGGTGGTCCGCTGGTCATGCCGATTCGGCGGCATGCCTGCGGGAAGTCTGCCGGTGCCGTGTCATCGGCATCCCCGCCGCCAAATTGCTGCCGAAGCTGCGGGACCGGCGGACCTCCTGCAGGCGTGCCGCCAAAAGCCGCCTGCCTGCCGCCCTCACAGCGACCGGCAGGCCGCCCCCCTGCGGCTTGCCGCCCCAGCCACTCGCTCACTGCGCTGGTGCCTGGAGCCGCCCCTGCCTCCCGTGGCCTCTGTTCCATTGTCCTACTGTGCTTCCAGCTAGAAAGTTTTTTCTAAGACGCTAGAGCACCTTAACCAAAGAGTTGTAATCAAACGACAACTGTTCAGGCTGAAGCTTTCCGTGCTGGGTGTTTGCCTTTGGATGAATTCCTCTGGAAAGTTTCAGCTAAAGCAGCTCGGCCATTTCCAAGAGTGTTTGGAGAAGAGGGGCGGGGAGTATTCTTTTTCTTGCCCATTGCAAAGATATAAATAATGGAGAACGTCAGGCATCATTAACTGTAGACATCCCTATTTGCATTATATCATAAAGGGCAGCAAACAGTTGTACCCTGCCAAGTTCCAGCTTGTAATTCAGATAAGTTTGTTCTGGGAAAGGGAGGTGCCTAAAACAAGTTTCATAACCACAACAGCTATCACCCATTGAACGCAACAATGGCTGAAGACGCATTTGTATCTTAGGGCCTGCTTTTCCAATCAGAAGCACACAGACCCCCCCGGTCCTCCCCCCCCAATGGTTTGGGGCATCGTGGCCACATTTTGTGCAGTGATGTGAACATTTTATGCAAATTACTTGACATGGTAATTTGCATATTTTCATATTCTCAAAGATCATTATGGACAAACACCTCCAGATTCAGTAGGCGGTGCAGCAAAAGAGAGCACCTGACCGCCTGGATGGCAGGTGCCACAGTGGCTTCTAGTGGACAAAAGGTGCAACTGCAGCTGAAGTGGGCATGCAATCAGAGTGGTCAAGTGTGTAAGTGTCATGCCAGCCCTAAACTGGGGATATGCCTGTGCAGACCAGACTGCAGGATAGGAATCAGCGGATTTCAGTCTTTGACACAAACATCCAGCATACATTTCTAAGCTTGCAACAATTGGGAACATTGAGACTGATCAGAGGTATCTGTGTGTCTCCCCCCCACAAACATTTCCTCTATAACTAGGTTTGCCAATTTTGATTTAATTGGGAGTTTAAATAGGGAGGTTGTGACTTGACTTTCAGTGCTCAAAATCTGTTAATAGTTAGCTCCCACAATAATAGAAAGGGAACAAATATAGAAATGATGCAAGTCATTTTCTTGGCAATGGGTTGGCATTCATCTGAATACTATGTACTTCCTTGCAACAGTGAAAGTAACACTAGGGATTGCACAAGTGTGGCTGCACGGATGGCTGTAACGGGAGCAAGTCTGTATGGCAGAGAGATCTTAGTACCGTTGCACACATAGCTTTGTCCCGGTCATGCATGAAGGAGCATGCCATTGACTGTGCCCCCAGAGCCATTTGCAAACAGGAATGCACAGCTGATTCCTCAGTCCCTTATCCAGAATCCTAAGGACTTGTCTACAGAGTGACTTAGTGCACGGCCAGGTAGGGTGGGAACGTGCGGAACTGGTAGTGCATGGTAGCAGGTCAATGTGGCCACTTGGTGTGTGGCAAGCCAGGATGGCACTATACAGTGCACTAGCCTGCCATGCAGGCAGGCACTTAGAAAAAGAGAGAAAGGGTGCAGAGCAGTGGACAAGATTCTCTCAAGACACCCCCCTGCCCCCCCCCCATTGGTAGAGCCAGCTGTCCCTGTCAGTAGAGGATGCAATGGTTCCTACAGATCCAGTTGGCAAGGAAGCAAAAGGGTATGAAAAGAGGCGGTGAACCCTTGGCTGCATTACGAGCAGTGCAGGCTTCTGTGGTCACTCGCTTTGCAACCACCATTGGCAAATATGAACCCCACAAAGGCAAATGCCAAGTCAGAAAGTCACCTAAAGAGCTTTGTGCCTGCTGTCAGTTTCTTTTACTGAAACTGACAAATCTACTTCTATGAGGGCATATTATGCTGGTTCTGGTAACTAATGGTAGATAATTCTGCTTTACATTGGGTGTAAGTGTTTGACTCTTTGGTTATTTGTATTACAATGGCATCTCAGTTGGGTTCTCTAGCTTGGGGCCCCATTGTATTAGGCACTGTGCAGTCTCTGCTCGAAAGACCTTGCAATCTAAATAGACAGAGTATTCATAGAATATCAGGGTTGGAAGGGACCTCAGGAGGTCATCTAGTCCAACCCCCTGCTCAAAGCAGGACCAATCCCCAGACAGATTTTTGCCCCAGATCCGTAAATGGCCCCTTCAAGGATTGAACTTGCAACCCTGGGTTTAGCAGGCCAATGCTCAAACCACTGAGCTATCCCACCCCAAAATTGATACCTCCATTTTACAGAAAGGGACAAGAATAATCTTGCAGTTAAATTGCTGTAGCATCCAAATTGCTGTAGCATCCAAGTTAAGCACCTAACTCCCATAGACAACCTCATGGGAGGCAGGCTTTTAACCTGCTTAGATGTTTTTGTAAATCCCACTAGATGCCTAAATACCTCTGTGAATCTGGCCTAAGTAACAGGATGGCAAGTCTGTGGGAGAGCCAGGGAATTGTACCTATATCTTCTGAATCTCAGTACAGTTATTAACCAAGACTATTCTTCCTTTCAACTGACCATTTATTCATAAGCTTTTTTAAGGCCGTAAATGAGCATTATGATCATTTAGTCTGACTTCTTGCATAATGCAAGACAAAGAATCTCATCCATAATTTCTGCATCCGCCCAGGACTTCTGTTGGTGCTACATCATGTCTTTTAGAAAGAGAGCCAGGGCAAGCCACGGGCAATCCACCATGTGTGTACTGAAGGCGCACTACTCAGTCCTGCATATCTGATGACATGCAGCAACAAAGCCAGAATGGGATGGCAGCTTCTTTCATGTATGATGTTTGATGAGGATAAGCGGGTGTCTTAGAGACTGCACGACGGACTAAGCCAAATGCAGAGGGGATGTCTGAAGTAGCACAAGTTAGACTCCCCCTCCACTTGATATGACAGAATTTAATCACTCCAAATCATTAGGAGAACCTAAAGAGCAGTAAACAAGCCATGCTGTGTCCAATTCACAACCTTATCTTCCCCCAATCTCGTGGCATAACTAACTTTGGTGTTCTTCTAGGTGTTTCACAGAATCCCCAGAAAAAAATTAGAAGGGTTTAGACCTTTTGAGGTAGTTGGTTATAAAGACTTTTTGTTCAGGGTGGAGATTTCAACCTCCTAGGTCAAGAGATATTAGCAGGCAAGCCCTTGTTATACAGATCTGAAAAAATTCAGAGCCAGCCTTTAAACCCCCCTAAAATTTCAGTGTTCAGATCTGAAGATAAAGGGAGGGGCCAGTTTGGATTCTGAATCCCAGCCCCAAATACAAAGTTCATGGTAGTCCTGATGTATTTGTAGTCCCTTTGTCCAATGGGCCTTGAAGGTTTTACCTAAATTAAGCTATTACTGATTTGAGTCCACTGTTGGTATTGACAGTAAGGCAGCTAATGCAGATAGGAGACTGACCTTTTAAGCACTGTTACTTAGACCAGCTCTGAACAGGGTTAGAAAACATGGTGCTTAAGATGCTACTGGTCACCAGTGGACTATCTAGACTTTTGCTTCTAATGTTGCTTCCACCATTGAAGCTCCAGAGCAGAAGGAACCAGTGATTGCAAGGGGAGACTGCAAAAGACGACACTGTAGACACTCACCCCCGAAGAGGCGCAACTCCACATGCCCTTATAGCTGCAACCAGCTTGAGTCACCACCACTTCCAACATGGGCTGTTGCCAGTTGGCCTTTCATTGGCTCTGAGGGTTCTTTTCATGATCATGGTTATTATAATATTTACATTCCCGGAAATTTTTAATTCACAGCTGGTTAGTCTAATGCCTGGGGGCGCCAACTCCACCAAGATATCTCTTAGAATTTCCCTATTACTCAATTGAATTTGTCTGTCTGGACTGCTTTCTGGTTACCTCCCCTAGACAGGAAGAAAAGTTCAGCAAAGCTCAGAACGCTTTTACTTTCCACTGTTTGCAGTGTTGTTGTAGCCATGTTGGTCCCACATACCAGGATATGAGAGAGATAAGAAAGGTGAGGCAATACCTTTTATTGAACCAAATGACCAATATGGTCTGTCCCACCCTGTCTGT